AGGGGAAGGAGATGACAGGAGCAGCAGGAGCAGGGCACAGAGCTTCCCTGGCAGCTGTTTCCATGAGCAGCACAGGAGCCTGGCCAGCAGGGCCAGAGCAGAACAGGTCAGGCTGAGCTCTGAGAAGGGGCAGCTCATCACCAAGGCCATGGGCACCAAAGGGCAGCAATGGAGGGTGGCAGTGAGCAGGAAGGAGAGCAGCCAGAGCAGGGCACATAGGAGCACCGGGAAGCACTGGGAGCACTGGCAGGGCCAGCAGGACATGGGAGGACAAACAGAGCTGTGACAGCACTGAGGGCTGTCAGAGAGGAGACAGTGGCAGTGAAAGCAAAGAGGATGGGGTCCTTCAGCCCAGCTGTCACACCCCACGAGCCCAGCTGGTGGCAGAAGCTCTCTGAGACAGAAAATATGCCCAGGGTGATGGTGATGGAGAGCAGGAAGGTGGAGCCAGCCATGGCCAGGCTGAGCACATAGGGGGTGATGGGGTACCTGTGGATGCAGAAGCTGAGGAGCCAGAGCCCAGCCCCATTCCCACCATCCCACACAGGCACAGCAGCAGCAGCAGCAGTGGGACAGGCACTTTGCTCCACTGCCTGTTGTCACACCGGCTCCAGTTGTCATGGCTCTCCTCATTCCAGCTCCCCTGGGATGCCTTCCCACCGGGCTGGCTCCAGCAGGCAGGGCTGGCTCCCTCCGTGCCAGGGGACAAAGTGCTCATGGTGACACCTCTGCTGCTTCTCCTGCCCTCACACAGCTGCAGGGGTGACAAACAGACACACCAGAGCAACGCTGCTGTCCCCCTAACGTGGCTTTTCCCATCTTTTCCCACCCACAGCTTCCATGTGGAGCAGCACAGGGAGGGGTGAGGGACAGCACAGATGGCAAGGAGGATATGGGAGCCTGGTCCTGTGTGCCTGGCACAAAAGCCAGGGAGATACCTCCTTCCTGGCTGTGGACAGAACACAGCTGGAGCAGGAAAACAACTGGAGAAGGAGAGGATTGCCCATGGAGATATCAGAGAGCAAATGGCTTTGGGATCATTTTGTTTGCCCAATTATCCCATCATAAAAAACCCCAAACAATATTAAAAGTAGTAAGTGAAATAAACAGGGCCACGAGACTTCTTCTCCTTTTTAATGCCTTTATTAAAAGTGATCAGCTCAGGATTGGGCAGCTCGGCAGGGCTGCAGTCCCCGTCGTATCTCCCAGGGCGACTCAGAGGAGGAGGATATGCGCAGCTCTGTCCACTAGGGGCAGAGCTGGGGGATCCAGTCCTCGTGGGAGCCTCTAGGGCGTGATGTCCCCGTCAGATGTTACTCCTCCCAGCGTCTCCCAGCCACCTGGTCCCAGCGTTGGGACGACTTTCTGCTCAGGGCGAGAGGGACTCCGCATCTCTGCAGGCTCAGCANAAATCCCTGCAGGGCTGGTGCCTCTGGATGGCAGGAGAGGGGTTGGGATCACAGGGAGCATCCTTCCCCTTCTGTCCAGCAGAGCCAGCCCTGCATTCCCAGCTGATGGGAAGGGACACCAAGTAGGGCTGCAGAGCTGGGGAGGGACAGCAACATTCCCTTATCCTTTCACTGGGAATGTCTCACATTCTTCAATTCCAGAATTGAATCCTTCTGTGGAAAGTGCAGGGTTTATAGGGAACTACACTGAACTCCTTTGCCTGTATCCATAAACTACATGGAATATGGAAATTCCCATCACCAGATGCTTGGACCATTGAATTGCACAGAAATTAGGGGGTTGTGCTGCTCTTCTGCAGAATGGGGCCATCCATCCTCTGGTTCCCCAGCATCAGTGTCCAGGGAAGCCCTTGAGCACCTCCATCCTGAACCTGGCCACCCTCAGGAGGAGCTGCACAGCCACTCTGCACAGCAGCTCCAGCCACAGCCCAGCCTATCCCGATCTTGGTCATTCTGTAACCACCCCTCAATCAGATTTGCATTCATGGTTTTTGTTTCTTTCCACTATGGTAGTCCCAGACTCTGAATTTGTTGAATAAACAACATCCAGGCTTCACTGCAGGATTTGTCCCTGTTAAACAGTGTCCAAAATGGCTCATTTCCTTCTTTTGTCCCATTCTAAAGCCTCTGGCTGGTCTGGGAACAGAGCAGTTACCTGTCTCATACCAGAGCCTTTCCTAAGGCACGTGCCTGCAATGCTTGGGATGATGTTGGCAGTGCCAAGAGCTCCTGATTCCTCCTGGCACAGACCAGGGCAGGAGCCACATCTCTTGCTCAGTGGGAAGTTGTCCCTCCTTTTCCCACTGCCTTAAATTCAGGGGAAATCAATGTGCCACTTCTCCTGGAAAGGGAACTGAGAGTGAAAGCAGTGGGTACAGTCAGGCTTTGTAGACACACATGAGGTTAAACAGCTAAACAGCATTTATTACAGATGTGTTAATAATTAACAGAAGAGACTTGGACATCTGAGAGGGTTTTTATCTCCCTGACTCCCATTTCCTCTCCATATGAAAGACAAAACTTTCCAAGGTACAACTTTTTGTCCAGGGAAAAACAACTCGGCCAGGGAGTCCCTCCCAAGGCAAGTGCAGAAGGACCATTATTTTTCCATGTACTTTTTCTACTTCCCAGCACCTTCCTTTTGTCCGCTGTCACCCAGGCCACTCCCTACCTGAGCTTCCTTTCAAAAGAGCAAGACTTCAAAGCAAAAGGTTTCCTGACAGTCCCTGCCTATGGGAGAGAAGAAGGAGAGATGGAATGAGATGATCTCTACTGTTCCTTCCAACCTGTCCTGGGTGACTTTATGAGCTGAATTGTGTCGCCATTCATCTGTTTAGCCCAGAAATAGGTTTGGCACATTTCAGAGTGGTTCTTGAGCAAAGAGGGGCAGAGCAGATGCAGCAGTTTGTTTTCAGAAGCTTCCCTCACTCCTCCCTTTTCCTGCTCCCAGATCGTGCTGTCTGCAGCACAGACATGCAGCACAGAGCTCTCCTTTGCTTTTAAGTTTTTTCAGCTAGCTGAGGCAGAGAAGTTCCCTGGGCTGTGGTTTTCCTTTTGCTTGGAACTGTTCAAACCTGCTCTGGCCTGAAAACCCAGAAGAGCACCGGGAGCTCACACCTGTGGCCCACCGGGGCCTGGGACGCAGCATTTTCCAGCAGCAGAGGGACTGATAAGGGACTGAGTGAGCCAAACTACACTCCAAAACAAGGACTGTCTGAATTTTCCAGCTCTTCAGAACAGCAAGAGATTTTATTGTTTCATATTGTTTTCATTTGTTATGCTTGTGAATACTTTTCTTGTTAAATAAACAGTTTTTTCCACTTTTCTCTAAGGAAATCTTTTCCTGAACCAGTTGGGGAGGGGGAGGCTGCTTGAATTTATTTTCTAGAGGGATCCCATTGGAAGGTTTCCTAACAAATTTACCCTAAACCAGGACACTCACCCAAACCATTCCATGAGGATTCCTCGTGTCACCCACAACAGCCCCAGGCAGGAGTTCCCCTGCTGCACACAGCACCAGCCTGACAGAGCTCAAGGAGCATTTGCACAATGCACTCAGGCACAGGCTGGGATTGTTGGGATATCCTGTGCAGGGCCAGGAGCTCAACTCCATGATCCTTGTGGTTCCCTTCCATCACTGGATATTTTATGGTTCTATTTTATGCTGACAATCTTGCATGATGATTCCACATGATGATGGATCCCCTGTGTTGTCCCTATGCCCTGGCTCTGGCACTAAAGCCTCCAAAGCCCTCTGCAAGGCAACACTACCAGAGGGGGTGAATTCCTTTGCACAGCTCCCAGCCAGGAAGTCAATCAGAGGGAGGGCGCTGCTCTTGGCACAGGTGAGCAGGAGAGAGGGGCTGGGGGCAAAGACAGAGAAGTCAAACGCCCTCAGCAAGACCAGTGCCAAAAATCAGCAGTGAGGAAGGGGAAGGAGATGACAGGAGCAGCAGGAGCAGGGCACAGAGCTTCCCTGGCAGCTGTTTCCATGAGCAGCACAGGAGACTGGCCAGCAGGGCCAGAGCAGAACAGGTCAGGCTGAACTCTGAGAAGGGGCAGCTCAGCACCAAGGCCATGGGCACCAAAGGGCAGCAATGGAGGGTGGCAGTGAGCAGGAAGGAGAGCAGCCAGAGCAGGGCACACAGGAGCATCAGGAAGCACTGGGAGCAGGGGCAGGGCCAGCAGGACACGGGAGGACAAACAGAGCTGTGACAGCACTGAGGGCTGTCAGAGAGGAGACAGCAGCAGTGAAAGCCAAGAGGATGGGGACCTTCAGCCCAGCTGTCACACCCCACGAGCCCAGCTGGCGGCAGAAGCTCTCTGGCACAGAAAATATCCCCAGGCTGATGGTGATGGAGAGCAGGAAGGTGGAGCCAAGCATGGCCAGGCTGAGCACACAGGGGATGATGGGGTTCCTGTGGATGCAGAAACTGAGGAGCCAGAGCACAGCCCCATTCCCACCATCCCACACAGGCACAGCAGCAGCAGCAGCAGCAGGAGTGACAGGACAAGGGGCAATGGCTTCCCACTGACAGAGGGTGGGGTCAGATTGGATATTGGGAAGAAATCCTTCCCTGTGAGGGTGCTGAGGCCCTGGCACAGGCTGCCCAGAGAGATGGGGTCAGATAAAAACAAACACAAGGGCTCTCATGTCTGAGGAGGAGGAGGTTGAGCCCTAATGATGGGCTGGAAAGGGGATCACAACACCGCAAAATCTGGTCCCTGATAGCTTTCATTGCATCATCAAGGTGATTGGTAGCAATTAGGGTGGGCTCTAAGTGCTGCTGACCTGGCTGCAAGCAACTGAGTGCTGCCCTTCCCTTGGGCTCTGTGGGCCCGCATTGGAATGACAGAAATGGGAATTCTCTCCTCAGTTTGTTTTCTTGGGGCCAGGGAAGGTTTTGGCCATGATCCCAGAGCCCTTCCCAGAACGGGAGTTGCTTCTGAGAAGCATCCAGGTGCTTGCACAGTGCTGTGAGCAATTCCAGCAGTGCCAGCAGCACTCCAGTGCCACCAGCCCCACCAGCAGCTCTCTGCTGCTGGAGGGACAATGACCCCTCTCAGGGTAGATAAATGAGGAATGGTAGAAACCCTCTGAGAAAGAGAAAGCATTTGGAGAATGTCCCATTTGGAAAAGAGTTTCTAATCAGGAGGAAATGAGGAGGAATTCAAAGAAATCTGCATATCGAGCTACTTCCTCTATGGCAAAAATAGTCAACACCAATAACTCAGAGGATGGAAAATTCTGATGTAGACAAAGATGCAATTTCCTACTCCCTTTTGACTCCACCAAGCCCTGAGAAACAATTCCAGGACAGGGCAAAGAGAGGAGCGAGTGGGACGGGAATGGGGAGCTCCTGGTGACCTGGGCACTTTCTCCTTCATGTCCCTGACCTGGNCAATCTCCACCACCCTCCTCCCCTGCACATCTCATTTCTCCCCACTGAATCCTTCCCACTGCAGGGAGCTGCTGAGGAGCCGCATGGTCCATCCCGGGATTCTCCAAGCACTGACTGCCCATCCACTCTGACCACAGCCAGGGGCCACATCCCACTGCCTGCTCGGTGTCCATCCATGGAGGTGACCACTGTGTCCCCATCTCCTGCCTCACCCACTGAAGGAGATGATCTGTGTGAGACAGATGTCGCCGGCGTGGGCATACACAGTGTGACCCTGCTCATCTGCCTCTGTGGGCTGGCTGGGAATGGGGCTGTCATTGGCCTCCTTAACCTGAAATTCCCCAACT